GATGCTGATCAACAAGGATAGGTCTTCTCCCTCCATCTTCAATAGTTTTACACATACTTTGTTCATTTCTCATGAGGTAATGATGATTCAGTTGTAACTATCGGTACAGTCTGTTTTCACAAACTTTGATGAATTTAACTTGATGTTTCCTTAAGCAGGGCAGAGATAGAAATGAAAAAATGTTTACGTGTGTCAGTTTTGGAGTGCTTTTGGAAATAAACAGCATGTTCTTTTGCTGGCAGGATTTGAAATCTAGCAATCAGCGAGATGAAATTGCTGCAGCACGTGTATCCCTGAAGGAAAATTCTGCATTCCTACATTCAATATGTTCAGCTTGTTTGGAACATTCAGATGTTGCATCCCTTACAGCCAGCAAGGATTCAATTTGCAATGAAATACAGAATGCTCTCAATGTAATTTCTAATGCTTCCCAAGGAGTTGGAAATAAAGTGGAGCAACCTGCACCTCGCACAGCTACTCTGGGAAGTGCACTTGATGAGCTTGAGGTATGTAAATATGTGAGATTACAGTATTTTTGGAAAACAGTTTTTTAATTTTTTAACAACTGTTGGTACCATAAATGATGAGCCTAAAGACATTAAAGGTTGTTGTTCTGCTTAGTCCTAGTCTAAGTAGTATCACTTGATATGATTTCATTGAGATGGTTCACTGAAATGATTTCATTTTCTTCAGAGGAGTTTGGAGTTAAGGTTCATGTGTGATCAGTGTTTGGCTCCCTTCGAACAGAGGGCAGAGTCAGCTGCAGTTGTGTCCCTGCTGCTGGGACAGACAGACAGACAGACAGACAGACAGACACATCCTGCAGGAGGTGGGCAGAACCCCAAGTTCAGTGTGCCCACTGCTGCCCTGGCTGCATTTGAGCTGCTGCCATGCAAGCCGAGGCCTTGTCTCCAGAATGTGTCAGTGGGATCATTCTGTAATTTCTATAATGGAGCAATTCAGAAACCTCGTTATATTTGCTGCTTATCATTAAATAAAGTGACACAGCTAATATGCTCTAACCACCTCTGCATTTCTGCTTCCATTACTGAAGCAAATACCTGGGGGGAGGCAGCACTTTCTCTATTCCTGACCTCATCTGAAGTTTTTCTATGGAGTTTTTCCTTTTTCTCATGCCTGCTCTGGCTCTCACCTTTGTGATTTTCCATTGTCCTGCCAGAAATGGTGAAAGATCTCCTGTAGGTGAGGCTACAGACCATGATCTTCATGGGGTGTAACTGATGTAGGCCCAGATCAACACAAGGAATGTATATTTCTAAACACATTTGTTATATGGATGGTTTTGATTGTGGATTCTTGGATATAGCAGATCTCAGCATCCCAGTGCTAAGACTGTGATGCATTTTCGGGATAATTGATGTTAGGACTGATGGTAGTAGATTTTTATCTAACATTTTCAAAGGAAGATTAAAGAAATACATAGAAATATGACACAGATTTTGTAGTGGCAGTTGCTTGATCAAAAAAGGCCTCTCTGGCATGCTCAAAGTCAAAGCAGACAGGTTGTTCCCCACAGAGGAGCAGGCTACAATTGCACATTACAGGTTTTGAAATTACAGTTCCTAATCTATCTTCCTAATAAATGGAAGTAAAAAGAAACATGTAAGTGTAATACATAACATGTTACAGTGTAGCTGTGAATGACAAATGAGATTCCTTATATGAGACCCTGCATTTACCTGGATTGCTTTAAAAAAAAAAAAAAAGAGAAATGTCAAAAGGAGTGCATTTTATACCACAGATAAATTAATCTTGGCTCTGTGTAAGCAGTACTATTTAAAAATGCAGTAACATTTATTTTTTTTTCTAAAATTTGAAATTTTTGATGTACACAAAATGGGGAAAAAAGCATTTTGAATTGAATTTGGTTTTACTTGGAAATGTAAGAACATAGAAGTCTGATGGTTGTAAAAAGCATTTGTTTATCAAGTTGTAAATATATTTTTACCTGGGTAGCACATATGGGAATTGAAGCTGTGTGAGTTAGATAAAGCACATTTTATAGAGCATTTAACTTCAGAAATGATTTTATGAGTGAGATGGTTACACTTTTCTCGCTTTACAGAAAGTTCTATTGGCTAAGGACCTGAAATAACCTTTGCTCTATCTTCTTGTTGCAAATACAGTGCCATGAAATAGATTGATGCAGTAAATAGTCTGGTGGGAACAAATCTCATTAAATGTTTATAGTGTGGAAATGTATCTCAGAGCTTACACAACAATCTAGTATCTAGATGTTTTGCAATATCATTCTTCCTTTGCCAGTGCTGGCACTGTGAAAGTTATTAGAGATTTATAGGTCAGGAAACCACCAGTAAAATTAGAGCAGCTAACTCTTAAATCAGTAGATTCCCAACAATTTCTCTTAAAGGTTCCGTATAACTACTGTGTCATTTATAAATAAACACAAAATTGTAACTTTAAAATTTAATTGCATATTAAGATCTGTGGAAAGAGCATATTGGGTGCAGGTTATCTAATGCCTTTCCCTGGTCTTTCACCTTGTTAGTGCAAAGAGATTTCTCACAAAGTGATGCAGGTGCTGCATGCCTGAGTCTCTGTGTCCCTTGGGTGACCATGGCCATCCAGCTGAGCAGTTACAGTGAGATGCCAAAAGGCTGTAAGTCACTGCAGAACTTCACCAAGCACAACCAAGTTTCTGCATTCCCATGGGCCCTTTTTTTTCCCTGGATCACACCAGTGAGGGAGAAAACAGGGATCTAATCACTCCTCTTATGTGCTCCCTTATGCTTGAGCTGCTTCAGAGTAGCTGACCAGTGTTCAGCCTGTTAAATCAAACCCACCAGAGACTGCTTCCCATGTGCCTGGTGTCTTCTCATTGTGTCTTCTCTTTCCTGTGTAGATGTACTGATTATGAATAAGTAATGAAATTATTTGAAGAGTTTTATCTGTAGGGCAGAGTCTGAAATCATGTTTTCCTGGCTGTTACTGCCTAGATTATTTTTTATTCAGAGATGAACCATAGTAGCTTTTTGGCCAGTGCTATTTGTCCATGTTGGTGTAAACTTTCTCCTAATTGTCTCCCAAAGGAGGACATTTCTGTTTTGGGTCAGCTGAGATCTGAAGGCAGTAATTTTTCCAGCTGATTGTATAACTGGCTGTGGCCACCACATGTGTCTGAGTTTTCCCCAGACAATGAAGCTGTTTTTCTGCAGCAGCACTTCAGTGTTGTACCTGCCAGGTGTGTTTTGCATTGTGATGGACACTGCATTGAGGCATTGAGGGGCTGCTGGAGATGCAGGAGCTTGCAGGGAAGCTGCTGCTGCAGGGAAGGGTGGCCCTGTGGCACAGCTTGAGATGGGAGGGACCCCAGAGCACCTGGGTGTTAAAGGCTCTGACAGGAATGAGGGAGGCAGAGTTTCAAATCTCTCACACAAGCTTGTGACTCAAGTCTCCTTGCCTCACTATTTAAGCTTTTATCTTATGGTAATCTAATATAGTACTTTCATTTCTAGCTTAAGCTAGGTAGTCCCTGAAATCGTCTTGTTAAATCTAAACTGAAAAAAATAATTCAAATCCTCCAGTTTGCAATTAGTCTGGCACTTAGTGGATAAGCACAGATAAGTTCTGATTTACCTAAATTCCCTATCATGGTATCTGGCATAGTTTTCTTGTTTAATATTTCTTCTGAAAGCTTGACACCACCTATGGATGTGATGTAAGAGGTGAACAGGTGTATGTGGAATCCAGGTTTGGAGATTAGGACCATAATGACACAGGTTCAGATGTTCAGTTATATTAACAATTACTGGTGTAAATTTCTTCAAATGCTGAAGCTCAAATAGACTTACTTTGCTGTTTTATGAAAATCTCAATAGTCTCCTTTTCTCTCTCTTAAGAATATTTGCTTGCCACACAAATGTAATTAATTTTATCAAGCCAAAAGAATTGTCTGCTTTTGTTTACCCTACCTACTGAAAAGCAAAAGAACACTTATATCTATGTCCTTTGGAAAAATAATTGTTAAACAAAAGCTGCGGTTTTTATCTTTGCCCATATTAAGCCTGTTAAAAGTGGCAGCAGTGACTTTCTGCCATAGCGTGGGATTGCTTAGACTAAAAGTCAGCAGAACCAGACTCACTCATCATGTAATCTGACTCAGCTTTCTCAGCTGTGAGCTAGCACTGCTGGCTCTGAGTTCAATCCAGAGGTTCTCTAAAAGACTAAAGTTTATAGGCATTGAACCCCTCTTTGAAACAGAGCTTAAGCTCTGGTCTGAGACTCTGAATGGCAGAGAGAGCCTGGGTTTGTCTGCAAATGACCTCTGTGTTTAGCCCCACTAGGGAAAAGCGAATCTGCCGTGGTCAAAAGGGTTTTGGATGCTTCCAGTGGAAAGGGCCAGCAGCACATCTGGGAAGCATAATGTCACTGCAGTTCCTGCAAGTACAAAATAAAGCAGCAGCTTCATTGAACTGACTTTCCTTACCTGTGCTCCTCTTTTTTTCCAGAATTTAATAGTGCTGGATCCGCTGG